GCAGCAAAAGCCAGTAGTCGGACGCAGTCAGTCAGGCAATCACCGTAAAAGTTTCACACCAGAACTGGTGCAAAGTTTCGCAGCAAAAGCCAGTAGTCTTAGGTGGTCAGTCAGGCAATCACCGTAAAAGTTTCACACCAGAACTGGTGCAAAGTTTCGCAGCAAAAGCCAGTAGTCGTACGCGGTCAGTCAGGCAATCACCGTAAAAGTTTCACACCAGAACTGGTGCAAAGTTTCGCAGCAAAAGCCAGTAGTCTTAGGTGGTCAGTCAGGCAATCACCGTAAAAGTTTCACACCAGAACTGGTGCAAAGTTTCGCAGCAAAAGCCAGTAGTCGTACGCGGTCAGTCAGGCAATCACCGTAAAAGTTTCACACCAGAACTGGTGCAAAGTTTCGCAGCAAAAGCCAGTAGTCGTACGCAGTCAGTCAGGCAATCACCGTAAAAGTTTCACACCAGAACTGGTGCAAAGTTTCGCAGCAAAAGCCAGTAGTCTTAGGTGGTCAGTCAGGCAATCACCGTAAAAGTTTCACACCAGAACTGGTGCAAAGTTTCGCAGCAAAAGCCAGTAGTCGGACGCGGTCAGTCAGGCAATCACCGTAAAAGTTTCACACCAGAACTGGTGCAAAGTTTCGCAGCAAAAGCCAGTAGTCGTACGCAGTCAGTCAGGCAATCACCGTAAAAGTTTCACACCAGAACTGGTGCAAAGTTTCGTAGCAAAAGCCAGTAGTCGTACGCAGTCAGTCAGGCAATCAACGTAAAAGTTTCACACCAGAACTGGTGCAAAGTTTCGCAGCAAAAGCCAGTAGTCTTAGGTGGTCAGTCAGGCAATCACCGTAAAAGTTTCACACCAGAACTGGTGCAAAGTTTCGCAGCAAAAGCCAGTAGTCGTACGCGGTCAGTCAGGCAATCACCGTAAAAGTTTCACACCAGAACTGGTGCAAAGTTTCGCAGCAAAAGCCAGTAGTCGTATGTAAGTCAGGAATGTTTTGTTTTGCAGTCAGACAATCACCTATAAAGGCATATAACCTTGTGTCGTGCATGCGATGGTCGTGTGACATCTATAAGTTATAGAATCGAAGCGCAGTTGAAACAAATGTAAGTAAGATCACACCAAGGAAGGCAAGCTTATTTTGCTTTGGGTACAGAGAGACCCACCAAAGTAAAATAAATGCAGCAATACCTTTATCAGTTTGCTTGAAGCGACCGTCATAGTAAATTTGCGAACAGCAACAGTACTTCAGTTTTAATACAGCTACAGAAAAATTCTTGTAACTTTTGGCAATAAGATAAGCTTAGGTGAAACCTTCTTCGGTACGTTTAAAAATCGAGTTGACGACGGCAAACGTGACGTAACTGCGTCCTACTGCGTATCTCGCGCTTCGCGCTCGCGCCTCTAAACAACTCTAAGCACCTTAATGACGCCTTTTGCGCAGGCTACGGTTGAGTTGTGAGGGCGATTATTTTGTAGAAAGCAATAACTTCATGATAACCAGAAGAAAATAAAAACTCCAAAGAAAAATATCCTGTTCTTCACGACAAATGGTTGCAAAAAAAGAACAACCTAGTTGTCTATTAATTTGTTTATTCAATAGTCCAGTTTAAACCCTGCTTGCAGCAATTTTAGGAAAATAAGTAAATACTGTTCACATTTGTAATTTTCTTTCATTTTTGGCAAGAAAATTGTAAACTATTTTTTATTCTTTTTTTTCTACATTGGCCAAAGAGCCTCTCAAACGTAACCATGGCCGGTAACGCCCGCTGTCAAAATTGAGGTCCTACAGCCGGGAAACATCACCAAAAATATGTAATCTGAGTCACTGTGTTCGAAGATATGAATAAATTTGCTAACAGAGCTCTTACAATTTATACGATAAAAAGCTTTAAGAGCAAGAAATGCGTCAGCGTCAAAACAGATACTGGTATGAAAGTCAAAGAATGATAGCCGTTCGGGATTTACCCCGCTATACTACAATTTACTACACAGACGTTAGCTTTGAAATGCAACGGCACACTTGGATGTTGCCTTTTTTAAAAACAACAGTTACATAACGGACGCGAAATACATCAATATACGGGTAGTACAAATGTAAAATCTTCCTACCTTTTCTGATCCTAACAGATACCTGTGCAGTTGCTAAACGCCTTCCAAATGACCATAGATCGAGGAGGTTTCCCGTCCCGGTGAGCACATAACAAAAGAGAAATTGGTTCCAACGGAAATATTCCTGAGCGCGCAAACCTGGACAACATTGCAAACGAGCATACCGAATGAAATCAGTTCTGAGTTCACTCCCCTAAGAGGCCAGAGTGTATTATTTATTGGAGAGAGTTTTTGTATTCAATCGTCTCAATATTTGATGGCATTTATGTGCCTTAGCGAATGTTCTTAATGCGATACACATGCACGGCAACCTGACAAAGAAACACAACCATTTTGCTTACCTTTTGGCCGCGTTAACACCAGGTTTAAAGTAGAACGTAGGCCAGTAGCTGATATGTAGACAGGCATATTAAAACACGAACACACAAAAGTGTTTTCTATAAAGGATCGACAGCGAAAAGACTACAAACAAAGCGGTGAGCGGTGCTTGACTCAACTGTGTCATTTTCTCACTACGTGTATCTTTTACAAGGTATTCACAGCAGGACGTTTTGCTTACACACCCAAACAAATTTCCGTTTTCACAGGCAAAAGGTGTCATTTCCACAGCTCGCGTGGGGTGATTTCCACGCGCACTTACTTGCTTCGCCCGCTCTAATATCCATATAAAAAATTACAATGCGATTGCCAGGAGAAAAAATATACCTTTTTATCCAGCCAGAACCGGCATAAATTTTTCATATTTTCAGCTAGCAAGGCGCTCATTCAGATTTCCCAGCCAGCTAACTAGCAAATGTTTTTTTTTCCAGCTAGCTCAAATTCTGCCTGACGAGCGGGTATTTTGTCGAGCGGCTCCGTCGGGTACTCCTGTTTAAACGCCTGGTCAAAACTGGTCTGGATCAACATCTGTATTCCTTAATTCTTTCGAACTTTTTTAAATAGTCACGGTTATAGGCTTGACAAGGTTCATAGTAACTGCAGTCGGGCAGACTGGTTACATTTCTCTTTCTGTGGACTAAAAAGTGGTATTTTCAATCAGCCTGTCGGGATTTATGGGCAGAAATGCATACTGTATCTGAATCTGACAACCAAATTATATACCGTAAATCCTCTATTGTACCCCCCTCTCAAATAAGTCCCCCCCCTTTTCAGTGAGAGAAAGTCATAAGACCCCTCCCCTCCCTCTTATTATTCTTCAATAACTGACTTATTGTACTTAAGCTTTTCCACTTTGTATCATAGTTCTTTATGGAGAACCGATATCATCATCTTTGCTAAAATTAACTACTAGTTTTATTGTGTCTGATAACAAAGAACTATTAATTAAAGTACACAGTTCTTATTACATCAGCTCAATGTACAACTACCAGCTTCCAAAGCAAAAACAGGGCTAAAACGTTTGGAGAAACTATTGATATGGAACTCCAACTGCATGACCTACTTTAAATACATTTTTTTGGAAAAAATAAATGTGTCAAAGTGAGGCTGGAAAACTGCCCACCGAAGTTTTTTTTTCTTGGCTTTGATTGGCTAGCATAGACTAACATGGAGTAGCTAGGATGCCAAGCAACATTTGATGCTCGATTAACTGTCTGATTTGACCTGTCCAATTACAAGCAGCTTCTAATTGGACAATTGTGGTGCTACATCAGCTAAGGGATGGACCATTAGAAAACTTATGGGGGGGGGGGAAGGCAGGCGAAGTCCAAAAAAAATATTTGCGCAAGGGAAAATTAAATGAAAAAATTCTTGCATGCCAATTAATCCTAAAAAATATTCATGCTATGGCCTAAAAAAAATTCATACAAGGAATTTGATAATGAAAAAAAATTCCTGCAGCTCGAAAATTCCCCTCCCCCCCATAACATTTCTAATGGTCCATCCCTAAGGGCTGCTGTCATTTTGTTATTGATGCAAATTAATAACAATAAATAATTGATTAAACAAAAAAAATAGAATTGTATTGTATAATGCTTTATTTCAGATGAATGCCCATTTTAAATGTATTATACAAAGGGAGGAAACTAATTTTGTGCTATGAACATTGATAGTTATATATTCACTTTAAAAAAGGGTACAATTGAGGTAGTATATACATGATCTTTCATTATATGAATTTTTTTCAGACATTCTATTTTAGCTCGAAACTTACATTTCGTTAAAAATATCCCCTTACTTTCGTTTGATTAATTGCAACCCAAACAATATAAATAATTACAGCAATTCAAGAATATTTACAGTTGCAGTAAAAATTTTGGAGGCAACGAAAAATCGGCTCATCCTCGATGTAAAAACCTGTGACGTAAAACAATGAATACAAAGAAGCCTCTGAGAAGTCAACACAATAGAGCCAAGGAAAATAATAGCTAGAAAACAAAGAAAAACTTCACAGGTTTTTACACCGAGGGAAACCCCCAAACTCGCAATATCACCGCGATAAGGAATACGTGTAGGTTTGTAGAAATCCTGCGAAATATGCCGTACCTAAAAAGATACATATAATGATATATAAATAAGCCGTTTAGTGAGAGTTGTATTATAACTCGTCTCGATTAGTAGAAACTGAAGTCCTCTTTGAATAGATCAAAGTATTTTGCACCCCGATCAATAATTAGCACGGGATCAAAAGATAAAACTTTCAAATACAAGTAATATGTGTTTACGTTTTAAGGTCATATTTGCTCACCACCAAAACCACCGCTAAGACAGAAATCAACTTTGTGGAATTATTGTCATTATTAACTTATAATTCGACCACGTTTGAACGTAAATATTTGATGTTCCGTCGCTTAATAATAAACGGTAAGAGCGCTACATAGCCTGTTTAAACAATCCAGGGGCACGTTTTGAATTCAATTTTCCTCCGTCGTGTTTGCATTTCATCAAAAGTTATCTGTTTCAAGAGTCTGATTCACTCACATCGCTTTCATCGATCTTCATCATATTTTTAATCCTCGCCCGAAGCTTGATCATCTGTCTTGCTAAATTCTTGTCTTGTAATTGCATCTCTTGTAGTTCCCTTCGAAGCCATATAATAGCGTTCTGTAAATCAACTTGTCGCTCTGCCATAGTTGCCCCTTCTCGCTGTATAACAGGAACCTTGCTACCTTTAGTCTTCGCAGCACCCACCAAGTCTTCGCCATAAAACTGCCTTGTTTCTGGCTCGTCATGAAAATTAACCCTCCGTTGTTGCTCTAACTTAAAGTCATCCGTTTCATTAATCCCTGTCATTGTAAACTCGAAATCTTCGCGATATCAGAGTCAGATCGTTAGCTCACAGATCTTTAGTGCTCCGAAGTTGTAGAAAATCGTGATTCATGTACTTTGGAATCCACTATTGTATTCCCGAAAGCCCCACTATTTCCTGAGAGAAGTCACGAACTTTTGTGCGGACTTCCCGTGACTTATGCATGTTTTGATTCCCAGCATTATATAACCGTTTATAAAATAACTACGATAGTACGCGCATTCTGATTGGTTAAAAACCTATGGTTTATTGTGCTGGTAAACTCATAGAAACCGTAAAGTTATTGACCACACTTTCCATGGGTTTACCGGCGTGATAACCCACTTGGGATGTTGGGAGAACACTCGAAAAGCTTGTAAATCACTCGCCTTCGGCTCGTGATTTACAAGTTTTTCTTGTGTTCTCCCAACATCCCAAGTGGGTTATCACACTAAACCAAGAGACGCAGTAACCCGTGGAAAGTGTGATCTATTGCTTAACTAACAATGGCAGTTGTATTCTTCCACCAATCATATGCAGGCAACAATTAGAAAAGGTTCACGTTTTCGCAGTGCACGACTTCTTTGTTTGACTTGTCTAGCTCTGCTGAAAATTTAAATAAAGAAAAGCGGTTGTAAACAATTGGAAAGATCGATGATAAAAAATTTTTGTCTGTCAGTCTGTTTGGACAGCGGAATTACAAGAGAGTATGCGCTAAAGTATTCATAACAGCAATATGGCGGACACAACTGATTACCTCTCAACTTAACTCGTGAATTTCTTTATTAATTATAGAGAGTTAACTGCTTAGGACAAGTCCACAATGAAGTAAAATATTTCTTTGGAGTCATTTGAAATCGTAGTAAAGTTACTTAGAACTTAGATCTATATTTGTTCTGTTCTAGGCTAAACATCGATGGTCTTCTGGTATACTTTCCATACGACTATATTTATCCAGAGCAGTACTCTTATATGATGGAGTTGAAGAGAACTCTTGATGCCAAGGTGAAGACCGATTTCTGCAAGATCCTTTGGCCTCACTGATATCTGTAACGTTCTATCCTTTTGCAACACCTACAAATTAAGATCACATGAAAGCTCGCTTAATTAATTTATCAAAAAGATGTATCAGCAAATCAATCTGCTTATGCAAGTTTTAAAGCTCATAATTTAATACTTGTAGTACAAGAAAACTCATCGAGATATGCTGATGAGTAGCTATCCTTCACAATAAACAGCTGGTGTGTTATGCTTACAAAGTTAGAATTGCTGAAAACCCAAACTGTTATTGTTGTATAATTGAAATGGAATGGATTCCCTTTTTCATGTGACTCATTTTGGTTATTGGACAGCTGCCGATGGCATGGTAAAATAGGTGTCTGTGACAGGAAAAAGGGGCCTTTTCCCTAAAATCTTGACAGCATAGACCTTGTCACAAGTTTAGAAGCCATCTTGATGAGTTGGCAACTGCGTAAGAAATTACAGTGTTTTTATGAGCATCTAATTTCGAATAATTTCCGTAAATGACTGTTCTGATAAAAATATGAATTGTAAACTAAAGCCACATAGCAAAGGATTCTACTAACAAATTTTTGGGGGCTGTAACTGTGCTTAGATTTCCCCAGATGCTTGCCTTAGATTTTCCATATATGAGGGGGGTGAATAGGGGGATGCAAATCCGCTGATCTGTGGTATTTTTAGGCCCGATCCGTCGATCCGACATAATTTTTGTTGAAATCCGAATCCGTGTTGCTTTAAAAAGTTTTCGTGGTATATAGAAAGTAGCGTTGTAGCATGAAAGAATTACTTGATATAGTTGTTCTGTAATCGCAACAGATGCGGAACTTCATGTTTAAAAAGTTTTCGTTACAGCTTCAAAACATTAAGCATTAGGGACAGAGCCTATAATGTTTCTTCCAACAATACAGATTTGACTAATCAAATAGTCTGCAAGCTTGCAAAATGAAAGTATCTGGTATTGCGTAAAAGATTTTTCAATAAATTTACTTACTGACTTCTAGTCGAGCCACAAAATTCGGAAGAGGCAGAACTCAACTTCATGGTAATTTGCTTACCAGTAAGTATTTTCCATGGTTCATCTTTTGCTGTGTTTGCCCTCAACCAAGATGGCGAGAGAAACCGGGAAAAGATCTATTAAGTTAACAATCAAGACAAGCAAACTAGCTGAAATAACTTCGAAGAACATAATTTATATCAGTTCATGTATAAACCAAATATAAAACTTACTGAACGTGCTCGCCTGGCTTCACCACACTTTCCCACTGACTGGAATCAGCGCAGCATCGAAACTTATTTTTGTGAATAAAGTCATCGCCTTTGGCACCTTCGTGGTAGAAAAAGGCTACACACTTGATAGTTCTAGTTTCCATTTTGCAATTTAAACCGGAATTTACACGAACGCATTCACAGATCTTGTCAGGTCACTTAGCATTACCGCCATTACCTGAACCATGTGTCACCATGCAGGAACCATGCACAAGGTTGCCTGACGTCATTTCCGTCACACTGTCTATACTAGACTACATGTATACCGTATGAGTCGGGTAACGAGAAAGTCTCTTCCGGAAACCTCGGAAGTGGAATGTTAGTCGACAAAACACCAGCACATTGACCTAGGCCAACCGAAAATTGATGATCCGATCCACGATCCGAACTTCTAGACTGACAGAATCCGAAAACCAGGCCAAAACTTTCAGCTGATCCACGATCCACGGTATTTTTCAAATCCGCGAATCCGCTCGATTTATCACTGAAATCCCTGATCCCTGATCCACTAGGTCTAATGATCCTGTAAAATTTGATGAATGAGCTAAAATGGGTGCTTTCTTTAAAGTGGGCTCTCTTCTGGCCAACAAGTCGCCCCTGCTGGAAATGGGATTGTTGTCATGCTTTTGTTACCCATAAGCAAAGGCCCTTTGATCTTCTTAGATAGATGGGTTAAAGTCATTAACTAGTAGCAGTCCTTCAGCCTCAAGAATTATATTTTTTCAGGACAACAATTACCATGACATTTGAGTTTTCTAAGTTTACAAAGTAGAGTTTTAATTCTTCTGAAACTTTCTCTAACATCTCTTGATTCCATATGATTTTCATTTTCAGGGTCACTGTCTTCTGGAGATGCCTTCTGGAACTGGCAAAACCATATCACTCCTGTCCTTGATTGTTGCCTACATTTTGGTAATTATATGATACAACTTGTTTAGCTGGGGGGAGTGGTTACTTTCAAGTTGAAGTTATGGGGTTTATCAGAATATTTTTGGGGTTTGAAATTTCCCATTGCAGGACTTTTTTTGGGTAGGAAAATTTGGCGAGTATTTTTTGTGGTACCTACAGTGTAAGTTAGTATTTTGGGGGTTATTCAAAACCTTCTAGGGTTGGTATAGTGCAAGTCATGTACTATGCTTGTTATGCCCTCATTATTACAACCGACTATGCAAAAATAATGAAATAATTTCCATATAATTTAATGACATTCAAATCTGACCATGCTTGCCTTCAGGCCAAACCTCTGGACCTGTCCAAACTCATCTACTGCTCTCGCACCGTTCCAGAATTAGAAAAGGTAAACAAACAAGTTAAATTTTTTGGTAATATTTTTAGCAATTATCATTTATTCCATTTAATTCATAGTATATTAAGTAATAATGAACTGCGTCAGTCATTACCTGGTAAAAGAATTTTTGATCATGAGTAATGAGGTACAAGTAAAAAGTAAAACTGTCAAAACCAGTTTGCAACCTCAGGCAAACAGGGATGATTGTATTTACCTAAGAGACTTTATTTCTTACTGTATAACAGTTATTAATTTCTCTGCAGGTCTTAGAAGAGTTAAAAGTGCTTTTGGAGTATTATGAGAAAGAAACAGGACAGAGACCAAAGATTTTAGGCTTAGGACTTAGCTCACGAAAAAATCTGTGCATCCACCCCGAGGTTTGCTTTGAATTTGCTTAACTTTAAAGGGTAGATTGGCCCTTTGATCTTTATAGAATGATCAGAGGACCTCTTTTTGTTGGGTGGCTGCATGTAACTGTCAGTTTTCAACCTTCAAAAATTGCACATAAGATTGATGCCCTCTTAGGGGTGGGGAATTTCCCTAGTCTGATATTTAAAGCCATTTGTTTTGCACTTTAAGAAGGCGGCCATGTACTTGTCAGTATTTTGCTATTTTATTTATTTTTGTTGCGGGCACGATTTCATCTTATCTTGAAATATTTATTTTGTTGTTTGTCACCAATATTTTCATCTGCCTTTGTTATGTTGCTGTTCAGGCCCATGTTGTTTGTCGAAATATCGCCCTAAAAATTCCTCAAGATTGGGTTACTGCCCACTGTTGCCTTAATACATTTCTTAAAGAAGTAGAGCAGGTTGATTGAGGTTGTTGAAATATTGCGCACTTTCATTGTTGTGATTATTTTATAGTTCTTACTTCTTGTGACTCCTCTGTTTTATAAAGCAAATGTTAATTCAAAGAACAATGATCACTCTTAGGGTTTAAGGTATTAAATGGTCATGTCTAAAGCACTGACACCTAAAATCAGCCGATAATTATATCCCAATATTCCAATAGTTACCCAAAAAATAATATTGATCAATTTTGGTGATAGATACTGACTGCTTGAATGCCCAAAAGCCATTTGTAATTCATACTAATAGTATCTTTCCATTTCTTAGGTTATCGCTGAAAGAGAAGGCAAGAAAGTGGATGGGAAGTGTTTGAGTTTAACAGCATCTTACATACGTTTAAAGCACAAAGAAGACAAGTCAGTTCCTGTTTGTTCATTTTATGAGGTACAAGTTTAAACTCTCTCACTAATGCTGCACCATAAAGGATTGCCATGATAGAGATGTGACTGTTAGTCCAAGTTTGACTGTATAGTAATACAGTGGAACCCCATTAATATGGTCACCAATGGTCAAGAAAATGTATGGTCGTTTTGCCAGGCAGCCAAAAAAAGTGACCGTAATAATGAGGTGACTGTAAGGCAGGGTTCCACTGTATTTATAAATCAAGAAATTATTACTGTAGCTGTGAGTTCATTATTGTGTTGTAAAGTAAAGTACTCTAGCCAAAGTGCAAAATAAAAGGATGAGCCCCTCGGAGCAAAAGAACATTACTCTTACTAAGCCAGTTCCGTAGGTTTTTGAATTCCTTTCTTCAAATTATATGGTAATAAAAAGGCAGGGCTTAAAAAAAATTGAATTCCAGCTGGTCCTTTAGGTGAGCAGCTCACACACTTTCCTTGCCCAGGGCACTTCTTAGTTAATGATTTAGTTGGAGGATGACTTGACTGCACCCCTCTCCATTTGGCAAGTGATCTTTGAAAGTTATTTGCCCAGCAAGAAAATCTGCAGTACTTGTCCTGGACTACTCGACGGGACTTTTTTTAAGCCCCGCAAGGGAACAATTAAATTTTTGGGAAATTTTGTATTTGGCCATTTACTTTGCTTCTTTGTTTGAAAGATCATCACAGGTATAGAAATCTATTTATTGCAACCTTATCAGTTGCAAAAAGAAAGACTGAAAAAAAAAAACTGCAAAAGTTGGGTCTAACTGTGATGAACTTGTTTCATTTAATTCTTCACCCCACAGTTCCTATATTTCATATATATTACTCATTGTTTCATTTGTTTAGTTTTGTTGTTGTTTCTGTATTACAGTCCTTTGATGCCCATGGGAAGGAAGAAAAACTTTCTCCTGGAGTCTATAATTTGGTAAGGATAAAGCTCTCATGCTAGTTGTTCAGTACGTGGATAATGCTATTCACTGGATAAATTTCTACCATGTGGGTAATGTTAATTACTCATCTACTGGATAGAAATTGATCCGCTGGATAGCGCTATCCAATGTTTGAACTTCTGTGGCCTGATGTTCCCTGTGATATAAATACTTTCAATGTGTAGAAAATGGTTGTGATTGTTAATAAAGAGATTTATCTGTATCATTTTTCATAATATAGTCTTTTAGCATTTTGACTGTTAACTACTAGCAGCTAAATGTACATAATAATTATTAAAAAAAAAAGATTGCAATGATTTTATTTATGAATGAAAGGAGAATTGTTGTGTATTCTGGAAGTACCTTGAAAGTCCTTTTACATGAAGATGTACAAGTTTTCATTATGATTGTCTATTCTTTTTTGTTTAAAGGATGACTTAAGAACAGTTGGCAGTAAGAAAGGGTGGTGTCCATATTTTCTTGCTAGACATGCTGTAAGTATATACACCTGGGCTTCTTTAATAGTGCTGATTATTGTTTAGTTTGCCATGATTATGGTTTGACAATATATGGGAATTTGTGACTTGGGACACAGGAAAATGTCTGTTGTCCGTCTTAAGCGGGTTAACTTCACATAAGATATGAACTTTTGGTTGGGACTAATGAAACTGTCTGTGATGTACAGGTGTTGGTATTAAAATGGGTGTCTGCAGCTAGAGCAGGGTTCCACTGTATATGAAACATACATGTACAGATAATAACATTGCAGGTGCATACATAACCTACACCAACTGAAAGGATACTGAAAGAATTAAAAAAAAATAGATATGATGGCACCACTCACACCATTAATAGTTAATAATTAAATAAACCTTCCAGAATTATTTTATTGGCCTTAACCTTGCTTTTATTCTAATGCATCATTTCAGATCTACCATGCTAATGTTGTTGTATACAGCTACCATTATCTCCTGGATCCTAAAATAGCTGACCTGGTTTCTAAAGAACTGGAAAAGACATCTGTTGTTGTGTTTGATGAGGCTCACAACATAGGTACAAACTGTTTCACATTTGTTTCCTCTGTAGCCTGGATTCCCGACAGAGGTTTTAGAGTGTAAAAAAAGTTGGAAAAATTTTCAACAGCATAATAAAGGTAGATAGTTATAGTCCATCAAGTTGAAGGTTTTTGAAATAATATTCAGACATGTTTATGACTGATTTGAACTCTGAGTTGTCCCGCTGCTTGGGCCAGAGTAACACATTTTCTCTTGCCTGAGAAGCTGCGAAGGAGACCATCCCAAGAAAGGCCAGTTCTGAATTAAATAATACAACCTTTTACTCAGAAAGAAAGCTCATACCTGTAGTAACAGAAAAATTGTCCCAAATTGTTGCAAAACCTGTTGCACATCACAAAAAAATTCGATTTTTTAAATCAGCACCATTCTAGGTCGACTTTCATCTTGGTGTTTGCTTGTAGGTGGAAGATCAACCTAATAGATCGTAGCCACTGAGAATTGGCCATTATGCCTGAGTTACAGATCATGCAGACTAAACATAGCATGTAAACCCTGGCATTAGAAATTTCTCTGAAATTTAGACAAGTCATGTGAGTTTGCCTTTCCTTAGTTCTGTATCCATTCTTGAATACATTTTTGTTGTCGTTTCCTCACTGTAATTGCTTGCTTGTTGTTTGCCTATTGTGATTTGCAGATAATGTTTGCATTGAATCCATGAGTGTGACAATATCACGAAGAACCCTGGACAGAAGTCATGCTAATGTTGAGTCACTGGCAAGAACTATTAAGAAGTAAGGGTGAAAATATTGTGGCAATGTGATAAGAGAGCCACAGACATAGCAACTTCTGATTGTGCCCTAGAACTTGCGTCTTGCTGTAGATTGGTTTTTTGTACAGCAACTTTAAGACAACGTTGGCTTTAGGGCCGAGACTCAAGTCCCTTGTCACAGGACTAAGTATCTTTGATATTGGAAAGGTTTCCCCATTATTGGGAGCTTAAAGGAGCTGTGGCACGAAATTCAGCCAAATTAGGAAATTACAAAATGCCTGTTAAATTAAGAGAAACATAAAAGATAACCGCTTAAGTTCCATAGCGATTGAGGGCGAGTAATTGGCAAAATTAAACAAAATGAACTGGACTGCCGTGACACATCCCCTTTAAGTGAAAACAAATGAATTTGAACAATGTGGACCAACCTAAGGTGTCTTGTCTAGGAAGACTGGGGGTATTTATATCCTATATTACCCCATAAACTCACGAGACAGTTAGCCAGGTGTACAAATGATTCTTTTTTAACATTCTACTAAATTTTCTTCAATCAATCCCTTCCTTGCGAGCACCCTGTTAATGTAATCAACTATACCATACAGGAAGTTTTCTTTGTCTTAAGACATCATACTTCAAACAATCCATCTCTCTATGCCTGTCCTGTTGGTAAGAGGGCATCGAGCTGTTTGGGATCCTTTAACTCGAATTTTAAAATTGTTCCTAGTTGCTTCAGTGGACACTTTTGCGAGGAAAAATGTCACCTTTTAAAATATCAGAACTATTTATTACACCTATGTATTTTCAAAGACCGCAAACAGTGAAAAAAAAGTTTCATGCCATAAACAGTTTAAGACTGCTTCCTGCCCACTTCCCCTCTTTCATTTTTTCCCCTTGTTGGTTCCTCCCCTCCCCCCAAACGCAGCTAGAGCCTGTTTACAGGCTAGAAAATCTAGCACAAGAGTTTGTCTTAATTTAGTGACTGTGATCTAGTCTTGCTAAAGGGTACCCTGCGAGCAGAGTCTCCTTCGATCTTCTTAGATAAGTTGCTAAAGGGTGCCACATCAATATACATAAACTGTTAAAAAAGTGTTTGACTAACGATGGGTAATGAGGGAGGAAGGGGACTGCAACGTAATGACGCCAAGTTTGATTGTGTAGAAAAATTGCTTAAAATCCATTTAAGGTTTTCTCACATCTTGGGAAAGCAAAAAAATTGAAGTTTCTCTTGTCGTCTATCATGAATTTAGTACAGTTTTAGTAAATGTGTGTGTGTTTTTTTCTGTAAGTATCAAGGAGAGAGATGCCAACAGATTGAGAGAAGAGTACAATAAACTTGTTCAAGGATTGCGGGATGCGAGTACTGCAAGAGAAACAGACACAGTGTTATCCAATCCTGTTTTACCTGATGAGATCTTAGAAGAAGCCGTACCTGGGAATATCAGACAAGCTGGACATTTTGTGAATTTTATGAGACGATTTATTGAGTACCTTAAGACCCGACTGAGAGTGCAGCATGTTGTACAGGAAACTCCACCGTCCTTTCTACAGCATATCCTTCAGCAAGTGTGCATTGAGAGAAAACCTCTAAGGTACTGTAAATTTAGCCTGAGCAAACAGCCGACATTTGGCGACGCTACCACTGGTTTTCCCGCCAAATGACGTCTGAGAAACAAGCGCAGAAATTCCATACTGATGACGCGTCACTACCCCGATCTTGGTATTGCCTCTGATTGGTCGTGCCGCGTGGGAAATTTGATTCAACCAATCAGAAGCACTACTCAGATGTGGGTAGAGACGCGTCATCAGTATGGAATTTCTGCGCTCGTTTCTCAGACGTCATTTGGCGGGGAAACCAGTGGTAGCGTCGCAAAATGTCGGCTGTTTTCTCAGGCTACTGTACGTTAGGCTTGGTTGTAAAATTCTTTTGTCAGTTGCTGAAAATAAGCTTTTTTGTTTTTTACTCAAACCACAAAAAGGCTCTATAATTCTTTTAATGATCCTAGCTGATCCTTTTACTTATATAAGAAAGCCTTAACCACACCATTCCATAAAATCAATTCGTCATACATTTGTCTCTTTGTTAACGCTTTGAACATTGTATTGCCATAAATTTTCTCATATTAAAAGAAAAGCGTGCGTGCTTTTTAACAGCCTTTTCTACCTTTGGATTATTCTTCAACGGTTACTCAACTGCCTCGAAAAGGAATGAGAGGAAAACCGTTCAATAAGCTAATCAACTTTTTTGTTTTCTTCTTCTTGTATTTTCTTTTTCAGATTCTGTGCAGAACGTTTAAGCTCTTTGTTGCACACTTTAGAACTCCCAGACGTTCAGGACTATGGACCTCTTACATTGATTGCTAACTTTGCGACTCTTGTCAGCACTTATAACAAAGGTACCGCTTTAAATTACATGTTTGGAATTGAATATAATAATTTGCGTCATGAAACCTGATAGGAAAACTCACTCATTCAACCTCTTCATCCTGGCTAGGACATAGGAAAACTGGCCCTGACTCTTCGAAACATCTGTATTTTAAATTGTTTTAAGGCGGTAATTTTCTTTTAACCAAATCAGTTGATATTACTAGTTTGTTCTACATCTTTCTCTTTGGGGAGAAGGGGTGGCTCAGTGATGAGAGCACTCGCCTCCCACCAGTGTGGCTCAAATTCTAATCCCGTTGTCGACGCCATTAGTGGGTTGAGTTTGTTGTTGATTCTCTCCTTTGCTCCGATCCGAGAGGTTTTTCTCCGGGTACTCCGGTTTTCTCGTCTCTTCAAAAACCAACATTTCCAAATTCCAATTCGACCAGGAGTCAGGTAGACAAAGAATTACCATGTGGATGTGCTACCTCTAAATCTTTTTTTAAGAGCTTATTTTATTTTATTTGGTCTGGCTTCCACAACTTTTACTTACAGGTTGATCAATGTTCTGTGGTTGTTTAACTGACCTTGCAACTTCTCATTTCGTATCGTTATTGTATTGAAACAGGATTCACCCTCATCATTGAACCGTTTGATGACAGAACACCAACCATACCTAACCCAATACTTCACTTCAGGTGAGCCTTTGCACTCGAAACAAAACTTGTCAACGGCGTTTTTTATCACTATATGTTTAGGAGGCTTTGAGGAACATTTGCCAATACACTACATGTATTGACCAAACAAAATTTATCGTTTCCGATTGGCCAAGGGCAACGTCGTTACAGTCAACTCTTTCTGAGACGGACACCTTGGGGACCTGCAGTATGTGTCCGTCTTAGAGAGATGTCCGTCTTATAGAGAGTCAAATAAAGGGATTAAAGAAAGGCAGGGACCAACTCTAAGTGTCCGTTTTACAGAGGTGTCCGTTAAGAGAGAGTAGACTGTACTAGTGCTAACTGTACTCGTTAGTAGGAGACATCAGTGATTTCCGAACTTGACCGAAGTTTTTCCAAGAGTTCCGAGCGGGATATTCGATCTTGACTTCACGAAACTCCAGTGACGATTTCCGTGGTGACGAGTTGACTCTCTCAAAGAAATGCACAGAGGCAGTAAGAGTGGTAATTTCACGTGTGCAAAGAGATTTGGCTGGCAAATCAGTGTTTAATCTTGCCTTACCTTAAGTACATTTTTATAGGGCGTAACTGCTTTTTTTTCTTTGAAACATACTCTATTCCAGAAATAGGATAAATATTTCCTAGTGACTCATAGCTCCATTGTTTCTTTCATTTTAGCTGTATGGATGCATCTATTGCTGTTAAACCTGTTTTTGACAGGTTCCAGTCAGTTGTTATCACATCAGGGGTGGGTTTGTTAGTCTGCTAGCGTTTGTTACGGCAGTGGCTTGACATAACCCCTTTAAGAACGAACGTTGCTAACATGAAAAAAATGGGAGTGACTCCTCTTGTTCTGCTTTATACAGAAACCTTTTCCAGGAAACTGGAAAATAGACAACTGAAAGTTCTATGACGACACAGACAACGCTTTGCGGGTACAAACGCTAGCAGACCAGCTGCTTAGCCAGTGGTTGCCTTTGTACAGCCCTCAGCTACTTGTCAGAGGGAAAGTTAGGTCTTGCATCCTTACTGTAACACAGTGTTTATGAAAGCTTCATCTACGTCACCATCATCATTGCATCATCATTGTCATCGTTGCCATGACCGTCAGCATCATCATGAACATCAGCATGTTCCAATTTCCAATTCTCTGGCCGTAATAATTAAAATGTTTTTCCATTTCAATTCTGGTTGCAGGAAACATACCTATAGACTCTTTTATTTACTCTAATATTTCTCCTTTCAGACCCTGTCGCCTATAGACATGTACCCCAAGATTCTTGACTTCAGACCAGTCACCATGGCAACATTTACGATGACACTAGCAAGGATATGTCTTTGTCCAATGGTAAGTCAGTTCAGTAAGGCCTTTGAAATGAAGTATCGTGCTCACGGTTAAGACCCATTTGCCGTTTGCTGTCGGTAATCATCTTCTCTTTTTCTCAACTTTAGCGTATACCTCAAATGGACTCGAGACTGACAGCTCTTTGCCTTCCAAACGAAGATCACTCATGTTTACAGTGCTCACAGATGGTGGGCTTTCTATAATTTGAAATCCGTTGAACTCATCTCCATCAATTCTCCAAAGTGGAACTTGACTGAAAAAGCAATACATTGGCGAATATTATCCCTAATGTGTCCGACAACTGTAACAAAGATCAGTTTTTACTCACGCTTTTCGTGAACGTGAAAACCAATTTCTTCTCGGGGAAAACGGCAAACGACGAACCTAAAAAAATATTCACGTGGTCATCTCTGCCGTTTGCCGTTTGTTGTCACGTGGTGCTTAATCTCTCTAGCCCCCGTCCCGTCGGATTTTATGAAAACCTGATCGTCCTTGTCAGGTAAACAAGTAAATGGCCAGAATATCTAATGTTGCATACAACTTGACCATTTTTGTTTGTCTGAGCAGATTGTTGGAAGAGGAAATGACCAAGTGGCCATTACAACGAAGTTTGAAACCAGAGATGATATGTGTGAGTAACGAATTCTTCAATGTTCTTTTGCCACGAAATGATGAATTGATTTGACACAATTTAAGAACTGACCTTGCCTCCGTAATAACCCACGCATGTACCATTTTCTCACTTGTCTTCTAGCTGTAATCCGTAACTATGGCAATCTGTTGGCGGAGATGTCTGCAGTGGTGCCTGATGGGATAGTCTGTTTCTTCACTAGTTACCAGTACATGGTGAGACTGTAGAGCGTGGTAGTGATATTTATAAGTTGCCTGCTCAATTTAGGGAACTTCAGCAACCATGACGGCAACAACAACGGAAACGTTGAAATTGTAACAGTTATTATACGAACTTAAATTCAAATCAAATCCGTCGCTGTGATGTTACCTCGCAGTTTGCTGCCAATATTGTTTGAGGGATTCAACGGTAATCGGATACAAAGTTAAGTATTCACTTTAGTTTTCGGATTCAAATTCACGCATCTGCGTGTAAACGACGAAACGAATGTGGTACCAAATCATTCTCGATTCGTCACGATTCTAGTAAAAATCTCGTCTGGTGCAAACCTATTTTATGGTAACACCTTAAGTACCACAGACAACCCAGGCTCACCGAGTGAACCTTGCGTACTGTGATGAGAGACCTGTGCCAATACCGTTTCATTTATATAGCGTGCGTGTTTCTGCCGTTCTTAATCTTCAGTTTGCTGTTCTCTTTTTCAGGAAGCTGTCGTGTCTATTTGGCATGATCAGGTAACTACTCACAAGCCTTCACTGAAATAAAGTTAAAAAAGATCTGTCTCAAGCTACCAACAAGCTGTTTTTTTTTTACTGTTCCTGTATTCTTTCTTTTTTATATAAAATTGAACAATTTCATTGTAGTATTGTAGTCACCTAATGTCGGTAATAATGTAATTTTGGTTTTGAACGTTGAATATTTTTGTACTTGGTTGAATTTCACCGGTGCATAAATAAAGATTACCTTACCTTACCTTACGATCAACAACAGCCATGGTCAAAGTTGTTTAGTGCACGGCCTTCTATAGCCTTAGCGTCGACTGTACTTAATGTTCCTTTATGCCATTTTCAGGGTATTATCAGCAACATTCAAAGAAACAAACTGCTGTTTATTGAAACTCAGGATGCAGCGGAAACCAGCTTAGCTCTTCACAATTACCAAAAGGTACACTATCACAAAAAAAGCAATGTTTGTCATTTACTTTTATTCAGGTAATGTTGTGGTTGTTTGGTGCATAGACAAAATAATTAACCAATTCAATTCTTATCTTGTTTATCCAGGCTTGTGAAAATGGTAGAGGAGCCATTTTGTTGTCTGTAGCCAGAGGAAAGGTCTCGGAAGGCATTGATTTTGGTAATTTTTTTTTAATAATCAGTCTAAATTATAAAATTTCCATATTTTTGAATGAGATTAAACGAAACTTGTTGGATAAACACATTCAAACAAAATGACAGGCCACTGTTAGAAGATAATTTTAGACAAACGTACGTAAGTTTTGGTTGTTTTAGCCAACATTCAAACTAGCGAAGAAAAGCGGAGTCTGCTTGACGTCAGAAGGCCCTTTCCATGCAAGCGATATTTATGGCGGGAAAATAAGAAAAGTTAACTTCTAGCTTTGGCCTCAAAACAGCCATTTTTCAGTTCCGAGTACTGAGGAATGCACGTTTTTTATCGAGGACTTTTCTTATATCAGGGTTAACAGTACTGTGAAGATAATGTTGATTTAAAGTTGTCATTAAAAATTCTCCACAGATCATCATTATGGAAGAGCAGTTATCATGTTTGGAATTCCATACGTCTACACACAAAGTAGGATTTTAAAGGTAAAACTAGTTGTTGAATTTCTTCAAGTCATCGACGCTGCAGTTTGTAAAATATTGGTTGTTTGTGACAGTTCAAAACCGTTAAGTAGTAAGATCCTATGATGATCGACCAGCCCGCAGATACAGCCGTCTGTCCTCGCTGCTCGCCGCTGAGGACGTTTCTTTCCCGCGAAACGTGTCGAGGAAGGACGGCTGTATTCGCTGATTAAGGGTTCACAGTCCCTACTAAAATCAGTTACATTATATTATTTTACACAGGCACGGCTTGAATATCTCAGAGACCAGTTCAACATCAGAGAAAACGACTTTCTCACTTTTGATGCTATGAGGCATGCGGCTCAGGTAAATTTCTGAAATTTTACCTTATAACCCTCCAGTTTGAAATTTCTGGAGATCTCATAAATGATGCCACGTTGAAGGTGGTTGCTCGGCGAATGGCATTTCTTTCAATCTAACAGACTAATTTAAAGTTGCAAACTAAGCAAGCGAGCCTTTGAGTGGAAACTCGGGGTGACTTTGTTTTGCTAGAAATGTTAGTGTCATTCATATGCATCATAAGAGCATGATTTTAATTGGAGGAAAAGTGAGGTTTCTCAGGTCAAATCTACGTCACCTCCAGCCTTGCGCGCGGTTTCCATTACTGGTATTGGCAAATGGTGAATCTGTATAAAGGCTACACTCTGGCTTTCTTCCTTTAACGCACCGTACTCTATATCCCTCCCTCCTATTCCAACACTTAGGTACGTACGTGGTTGAGTTAAATTTTTGTATACATTTCTATTTCATGATTAATTTTTTTGTAGTGTGTTGGTCGAGCCATACGGGGAAAAACTGATTATGGAATCATGGTGTTCGCTGACAAGGTAATAATTTGTTTTCTAGGGCCGAATTGTGCGCTCGGAACATAGCCTGCGTAGTCCGCGGCGGGATCGTTAGCGCGAGCAAAGTTTTGGTAGAGGAGCTGCGAGGCCGTGGGGAAAATGGGGAGGAGACGTTTTGAAATCCGTGCATTCAGCCAGCTACGCAGGTGGAACCAGGCATGTGAGTGTTTGTTGCTACGAAAACTCATCTGATCTGTCTACGGTTGAACCGCGTGTACTGACTTAAGTTATGGAGGAACCATGTCTGTGCAGTACCCAGGAAGGGTATTCCAAATTTCAAGTGACAGGGTTGATCGAATGGAGGCAAAAATAAAAACCCAAAAAAATCCCTAAACCAAAAATCCCCCCCCCCCCCCCCCCCAAAAAAAAAAATCCCATGCCGAATTTCCGAGCCTTAAAAGTTTATAGAAAACAAAACAAGTTTGATTGTACTTTATTCGCAGAACTGCGTGATCGGGATACGCGTCCACTACCACGAAACTTCAGATTGTTTTGAATACCCAAAGAATCCTTTCTTAAATCAAGCCACCCAAAAAAATACCTGCCAAATTTCCCTACCCAAAAAAATCCCGGAGTCGAAAATTTCAAACGCCAAAAAATCCTTCAATCATCCCCGTCACTTGAAATCCAGAGTACCCCCCTGAGGTGCAGTGTTGCGGTAAAAGTTTAACCCAATAAATTTCCTTTTGTGCCCTTCAACTTGTCGTGTGTCGTCTTGTACGAAAATGAATGTTCCATTCAGAATATGAGTGAATGAAGGAATGCGCAGAAGAAGGCAGAAGCACGTTCCGGCTCATCCTCAACTATTTTGAGATTCTGACTGTTTATTATTTCTTTTACAGAGATTTTTTAAAGTTGACAAAAGGGGAAAGCTACCAAAATGGATCCAGGTAAAGGAATGATGAAAATTATTAATAGAAGTTTGTTTTTAGTTGCTTTTCTGCCCAAGCTTGAACCTGTGTAGTTGGTTACATATAGAACCTCGTTGCAAACATAACTATGAATAGAACCTTTAGTGTTACCATTTAAATGAAACCACTTTGTCAGTGCTTTAACATAATTTTTCTAGCTTAGTACAAACAAAATTTAGTTAATTCAGTATATTTTGAGCACTTTTGAAAGCTGACGACATTTATTGTTCTGGCTCGCAGGAATACCTCAAAGAAGGCGTGTGTAATCTTTCTATTGATGAAGCTGTCCAGGTAGGGACCTATCGTAACTAGCTATTATTTTCTCTGTCATTATTGCTTTATAAGTGTCAAAACATTCATCTGAAGTTGATACCAAGCTTTCTTTTGTGGGCATCAATCCTGCAGTTAGAAGAATTCCGATTGAATGGAACTTCTATAATAACATTTCTGTGGCTTTTTCTTTTCTTATCTTTACGTTTCTCTTTCGCAGATCAGTAAGAGATTCCTGAGGCAAATGGCTCAACCTTTTGATAAGGTAAAACTGAGTTGTTCAGTGTGAAATCTTGATGCCTTTTGTACGAGCAACGACAAATTTGGAGTCGGAGTTTGAGAAAACTCTCGCACGCCTGTAGGGCGTGTGAGCTTTGCTCGTTTTACGCGAAATCTTTTCCGCCTTTTATGCCGCACGATCAGTCCTTAAGTCTCATTAAATATAATATTATACTGAAAAACGTTTAAATTTTCTATTGAAAATAATACAAATAAGCCATGTCTATTACCTTTAAACATCCTCAATGAGGGAAAGAATTTGTCTAAACTCTATTTATAAAGCATCGTTTAAAACTAGCAGTATTCGCTTGCGGCAAGATATACGTGTGGCCACGGCACGTGGTGGTAGTTCCCTTTGCTTCATTAGTACAACAAATCGTTTAGTTGGTTGTTGACATTAGACCACACTTAATCTCGTAGTTTCCTATTACACTTGGCCAAACCATCCAGGACAGAAATGATATGATTCTGAGAAAAAAGAACGGACTGTTTTGCAGTCATCGCCTTTTAGCACTGAGTTCTTTTACCAATGGGTGCTAATAGTTTATCAGTATTTTAAAAATTAAGTTTGGATGTCTTTTAAATTGAATTGTGATTTTAGAGGGCCCTAGGAAGTGAAGGGATAACTGTCTTAAACATTTTTTTTTCAGGAGGATCAGCTGGGTTTGTCACTTCTTACCGTTGAGCAAGTTGAGTCGGAAGAGTTTCAAAAGAGAATTTTGCAGTCAGCAGTTGCTTGATCAGTATCCCAAAGTTCAGTTTGAATTGTGGATTCTTGCGAAAGTTTAGGCTGATCACAATCATATTGGCTTGGACAACGTTCAGCTATCTGTGTACCCAGTACAATTCCGTCAATTTATAACAAAGAGAAGAAATCGAGAAAAAGCGCGTCTTAAATGAGGACAGTAAAAGAGGCAGAACAAGCTGGAAACAGCTTGTAAAACTTAAAACTTCTTTTTCCTAGTAAGTCACAGGCGATGAAATTTTGTTGTATTCTTTTCACCAATAATTTTAATTTACTGTGTTTGAAATATGGCTCGTTTGGTGTGTTTTGTAAACTCCAGTTGAATTAATGTATACAGTAGTTTCAGGACGAAGACACACTCTCTCGCGCTTTGGGATTCAGCGGTGACTTACCGCCAGAAAACAGTATCAGGAGCCTCATGGCTCCTTATAGTCTAACGTAGAACGGTAGGAGAAGAGCTCAGTAGGCGCACACAGTAATTTTCGAGGAGTTATAATAACTTCTCTAGTGGGGTTAATTTAACTCCTTACAGTGGAGTTATATTTTGGGGAGTTATTTTAACTCCAAAAAGGAGTTTAAAGAAGTCTTTTTCAAGAGTAAAAATGACCCCAGATATTGAGGAGTTAAAATAACCCCAAAAAGGAGTTATCCTGTGCCTAAAATTTTTACTACACTTTCAGGGTTAAAGAACCTCCAAAAAGAGTAAAAACAACCCATGTAAGGAGTAAAAATAACCCCTTTTTTGGAGTTATTTTAACTCCAGTGTGGGAGTAAAAAGAACTCTTTTTCAGGAGTAAAAATGAACGCAACTTAGGAGTTAAATTAGGAGTTAAAGTAACCCCCAAAAAGGGGTTATCCTGTACCTAAACTTTTTACTCCGGTTGTGGAGTTATAATAACTCCCTAAAAATTACTGTGCAGGTAAAGGGTAGGAGGCAACGAGAAGCATAGTTTTTCATGTGCTCTGGTATAGCACAGCGAGACAGAGGCGTAACTTGTCCTTGAAGCGCCAAAAAACAAGAGCGTATCTTGCATCGGGAGCGCTATAGTGGGCAAAAAAAGTGGCCCAACATGTGATTTGAACAGGCGTGCTGCAGGAACGAATCCCAGCTTGCTATGTTTGCCGTTATAGCGCGCGAAAAGAGGTACGTGACGTATGGATTAGTTTCTCGGGGAGTGGTTTATTAGATTTTTTTAGTTGCGTTAACTACACGTCAACGACCTGACACCAGTTTGATGTTAAGCTGCTGGGCAAGTTGAGTTGTATCACATAAAATGACTTGATTAATGTCTCGTGTTAGTCACAGCTAAATCGTTGTAGATTTATTTCACGGAGTCTTTAACAAGGGTGCAACTTATGAGGGTCGGTATAAGCTAAATGGGAAACGGTTTTTTCGGAAGCATACTGGAGTTAAGAATTGTACTTGTATAACAGAGAAAATGTTTGAAATATCTCGAAGCAATCTCAATTCAGTTAATTCAGCTTGGCTTAAAGTACACATTAGACATGAGCCAATTAACAGACTAACTGGTTTACGTGTATACTGTCTTCTATCCTTCTTTCTTTCATTTTCAATTCAGCCCCAATTCCCCCAAAATTCAACTGTAATCCCTCCCTTAATGGTTTTAATCGCATCAGTTCTATTCTAAATCGCACCATTTTTGGTCTATATCGCATCATTTCTGTTTCGAATACAAAATGAGATGCAACTCCTAGATCAATACAATGTGGCTGCAATCAAGTGGTAATTGAACTTCGCCACCCTGTACCGAATTAAATTGATTGAGTTAACTGAGTTAATTCTTTTTAAAACCGTGAGATCAAAATTTGAATTCTCATTTGTTGCCCCTTTTTATTTTCTACAGAAAAAGTGGGGAGGAGTTGATAAAATATAGAGCAATTTGGTCTTGTGTGATCATGTCCGTAATTCTCATGACCACTCTGTTTTACGAAGTTTTACGTTTTACGATCCTTCTTAGGGCTTAAAGGGTTAAGTAACCAATCATTCTCTCTTGGTTTACCCCTAGATCTTTGAAAAATTTACAGTGTGACGAATTTAAACCTGGCCACCTAAGAACTTTCAGCCAATCATTCTATCATCCCTGTCACTTCCGGAGTGTCTCCTCCGCCCGCCCCCCACCCCCCCCCCCCACCTTCCGGACAATACGGTGACTATAATTTGCTCCAAAATGAAGATCTTAACGCAAATGTTTCAAAAAGTTTTAGGAAAATGGTAGTAACTGAGTCACGTGCTATATTTTTTTTCGCCGGCCCGTGCTGTTTTAAGCGCTATTTTGCGAGAAGAATATTTGACCTCGGCGGTTAGAACTGAAGAAGGAGACAAGGCAGGCAGCAATCAGCCGCCGGCGCGTGACCTAGTCCACTTTAAGCTGCAACTGACGCCAGACTTTTTAATTTCCTACCTTGAAAATACCAGCTGCCGATCCACTAGATGCCGGTCTCCATACCTGCGCCGAGTGAGAGCTCAACCCTTCCAAAATTTCTCGAGAAAAGCGACCCTAAAGTTGCAAGACCAGCTTTCTCGACATCATCGGTGCAAAATTCTCGACCAATGGCGTTTGAAATATGCGTGTCGATCCAAATCCACCAATCAGCGTGTCAGTTCAAAACCCCATCCCTACCCCGCACAGGTTTTTACAACGGTCGTAATACGCTGATTGGTGAATTTGGATCGACGCGCATACCTCAAATGCGATCAATGTCGTAGTGGCGAAAAAAAGTTATCAAATGTTAGGAACTTTATCATTTAGCGATCGGAATAGGGCTTAACCTCCTTTAACGGAAATAAGCGTGCTAACTTTGGCGGTGCAAAAAAGAACAATGAAGCTTTTCCGGGGTGTCTATTTTTAGAGAATAGGCGAGAAAACTAAAAACTAAATGTCGTCCTCGTCCTTGAATCTAAAGCTCTCTATTATTATTATGAACTGTACGGTTATTTGTTAATGGCAAAGTCCAAACACCTCGACGTCTGTAACAGTGAATTCTCTACTGCCTGTGAAGAACGTATTCTGGTGCCCTGGTGGGCACTGATAGGTATCGCCAAGATAACTGTAACCACATTTTCTTTTCTCTGGAAATACGCACAGGTTGCGCGCTCGTCCAAACACTGGTCCACAGTCATAATAACTTATGATCGCAAACTGCTCCCTCCCATTAAGTAGCGACATTTTGGTTGGTCCCAGACCACTAGGGTTGACTAAGCTGAAAAGGAAGGCTTGGCGGCAAGGCAGCCATTCATGTTTTGGAGGAGCTCATTCCTTTGGTTCGTTCGGTTCTGTTTATAAAAAGATAGATATGATTTATGGGCAGTGGTCGAGAACGTTTATACGCGTATGATGGAAATAAATCAACTCTTACAAACAGTTACATATATACAAGTTAAGTTTACGGGCTAAAGCCAAGTTGAAAAAACAAATCTTTCTCGTCCGGATTTCTATACAAAAGAGGGCGGGCGGGCGCATTTTTTTTTTTTTTGTTATTTCAGACTTTTTTTATTATTTCCAATTGAATGCTTTCTTTACACATTATTACCCTTTCCCAGGGATAAGTTGGAGTACTTAGGTCAAATATTAATAAAATGAAACGTCAGATATTAATTATTAATTAAACACAAGTTTGTATTATTTTGATGCATGTTTTAAACATCAACGTGATGCATCATACCATATATCGCAATAGGAAGGGTGCATTAAAAAAGTCAATAGGACTATAATTTAACCTGCCTGAAAGCTCTCGTGATTTTCCTCTTTGCCTTGTATCCTCTTTCGTGGCATACAGTAACGCCTGTTGGTTTTTGTTCGTACAAACGTTACTAATAAGAAATAACAAAAAAAGAGAGGCGCCCCTCCAAAATGAAGAGGACGGGGACGAGAAATATTTGTTTTTTTTTACTTGGCTTTTTTTTTAATTGTGGCCTTGTGTCCTATGCTCTGAGTGAACGTGAGGCTGCGGTTGACCTTGTTTTGGTACAAACCTTCTTCCTTCTCTTATTGAACTTATGCTAAAAATAGCTAGTTAGCATACGAATAAAATGATTTGCATAATGAAGCAGGAAGGGATGTTTGTATCAGAACAAGGTCAACTCCAGCCTTGTTTCCGCCTGTAACTATAAAATGGTCTAAAATGGACTATTCTCATTTTGTCTAGTTCGTGTGCATGATTGCTTGGATTTTATAATTTTTGTATCATGTTAATACACAATCAAAAGCAGTATTAGCAGTCTTACTTGTCCAAGCTCGCTCAGTGAAGCCTCCAAAAACGTTTGCACCACTTTTCACAACGGTGACTGTAGGCCCTATGTTGTCGCATCGCTCATGAAATGCTGAACCATTGAAACCATCGCGAGAGGCTCGGTACAGCAATAGCCATTCGCCTTCAAGTGTATATTCCAAAGGTATCCAGCCTATCAAGACTCTTCGATCCTTTGCAGCTGTCAAAATCACAGATTTCTCCAACACTTTTAAGGCCTTTATAACCCCCAGTTCACCCAGTACCCCCTGCAGCTGGTAAAACCTCGCTTCTACTTCAAGTTCCTTAAGGAATTTAGGACTCTCTGGTAAAACTAGTTCTCCGTCGCGGAGATAGTTTAATATAAAGCGGAAGTAAGTTCCATCTCGGTCGACAAAGAACGAACCGTCTTCAGTAGTCTCTAGCTTATGCCTTCCTGAAAACATGGCTGCAAGCATCGAGTTGGGATCTCTTGTTAGCGTTTGCAGGCTCGTGGTAAAGCGTTTACCTCCGACATTTAGTCTCACAATCGACGGAAAGTGGCTCTGATTCTGCGACATGATGAGACTTAAAGGTTCCTTGCCGTGCTGACGATTTGTTCTTTCTTCCTGCTTCTTAGACCCTTTTCAAAAAATTGTAATAATTTTCAAGAATTTGATTGTAGATGGTTTCTGCACATTACAAACGAACAATCTACTCTAAAGCCGGGAAATATGATTATTATAATGCGAAAACGTTGAGGGAAAACGGAAAAAGTATGAAAAGCCATAGTAACATTCTTATATGGTCATTGGTCTGTTTGGTGTTGAGGTTTCGCAGCCATGTGATGTCCTCTCGAAATATTGTGATGTGGTTACATTATTATTGGGATGTTGTTTCCTTCATATTTGACGAGGTTTTGCCATTATGTCATGTAACCATGTCCTTACATGACGAAGTTTCAACGGTTTGACGAAACCACATCACGGTAATGAAGTAGTCTGCGAAGCTGGCGGGATTATTATGCGCGGGTTACTTTCTTCGCGGCGGAGCGGCAATTTGACCTGATCCCAGTCTTCTCTCGGCTCCCGACAGCTGCGCAGGCTAATCCAACTTTCAACTTTATTTCAAGTTGGAAATATAACAAAAATATATTGGGACTGGCCTGCAGTTAGCGAGGCTATTCGAGGCAGGCTAGGCTACATAATTTACTACAAACTAGACAAATACAAGGAAATTAGACGTTATATAAGTATTTAGTAAAATCCAGCTAGTGGTCTACTGCATTCTGATTGGTTGAGCTACTACTAGGCTATATGTTATAGCCCACTAGTAGCGAAAAGCACCGGCTTTGAAAACCAAAACAATGGCGGCTGAATCGCATTTTGTTAGCTAAAGTTGTTTTGTCCTCATATTTTTGACCAACTAGTTGGACTTTACTAGGCCTCATGGCCTCTGAGTCAATAGCCCATTCGGCCTTCGGTCTCATAGGCTATTGACTCAGAGCCCATGCGGGCTCGAGGAATAATTGTTAAATATATTTTACAGTAAATAAATACTATTCTACTTAAATACAAGGACAATATTAAAGTGAAATTTTAAAAATATAATTAAAATGAAAATAAACGACAAGAGAATTACTTTTTCATTTTCACAATAATCGTATTCACATCAATATAGGAGTCTTCAGTTTGAAGGTTATCGAGTAGCATTGCTTTTAGGGATCTTTTAAAAGCTTTTCTCGGTCTTTCTTTAAGAATTTGAGGTATCTTATTCCAGATTTTGACCCCAACACGCGAAAAAGCATTTCGTTTGATATTGAGTCGAGATTCTTTAGCATAAAAATGTTCAGAGGTTGAGCCACGTGTATTGTAAGTACGAACACTAGAAATTCGAGAGAAGAGTTTCAAAATATTATTGGAAGCACTGATTTTATTTACATCATATAGACTACAAACGGATTCATAATATAGAGACTGTAAAGGTCGAAGTTTTGCATTGACAAAAAAAGTACCGCGTGGTCGTTTGTTTCAGCAAAATATATTAAACTAATGAAGTTGAGTAACTTCCTCACGTCACGATAAGACCTCACGAAACTACACGACGAGAGAATTGGACCACATAACAATATAACCAATAGGTACTTTAAAGCTCATATCGGACGGGCGTGAATAATGATTACAAAATGATAAAATACCGTAAAATTCCGAAAATAAGCCCCTCCAAATATAAGCCCCCCCAAACAGGCAACGCAAAAAATCCTCCGTTGAATGGCCCCTCCAAATATAAGCCCTCCGGGGGCTTGCACTTAGGAAATTACCCTCAAATACAAAGTAACACAAAGCAAAAACGGTAAATTTACTTCCAACTATAAGGCTAGCCCAATCGATTTAGAAACGCAAATTTCTATCCGTAAATAAGCCCCTCCGCATATAAGCCCCTCTAAAAGGGCCTTTGAAAAATATAAGCCCCGGGGCTTATTTTCGGAATTTTACGGTAACCGTTTTTCCACGTTAAAGAGAGCACTAACCGCGTGGTTGTTGGGCCTGAATTTGAGAGGATGGAATTCATTATTAAAAATCTTCGTCACTATTCTCACTGGGTGCCGTCACGCAGACTCTCTCCTCCGCGCAAAGAGGCTCCCGCTGGGTTAAAAATAGCAACACAAAGAGGCCTCTGCGGAGGAGAGAGGACACCAGACACCTAGTTTGTCGCCCCACCCACCTCCCCGCAACGATGACACCCTCTGGCGCGTTAGCTCCCGCTCCTTTCCGCCTCCGAGCTCGCTGGGGGTGGGGACTCCCAGTGAGAATTTATTTCAAATGAAACCTTTTCTATTTTTGTTGTGTGTATGTGTGTGTGATTTTAAAACTCCTGACAAAATACATGGAGTTAAATTTCCACAAAAATTGTTTATGTCAAGGTTCATCTGAGAGACTAAATTAAATTATTCACAAAACGTAAGTACTCGATCTCTTGCTAATATACATGACACTTGAA